GCCAGGCGCGCAAACTGGGCATGATCTCATTGGAGTCCTGCGATTGCGATTGACGCGCCCCGCGCCCAGATGCCCAGATCGCGCCTAAGGGGAACAAAAAAAACACCCCCAGATTGCAAGGAGCCCTCAAAGAGTTGTTCAACCTTTTTGTGGGCTCAATGAGAAAAAACAAGTTTCAAATTGTGGGTTCAATGGAAAGCCCAACTGATTTCTCCAAAAAAAAAACAATAGCAATCAAGTCCACGACCTCCTGTCGGGGGCCTTTGGCCGCAAACCACTTGTGAAGGATACCTTCATGTGAAAACACCTGTTTGTCTAAAACGAACCGGTGCTTCGTCCCACACCCACCCCACAACCCTGTTTTTGGGCCAAACCTGCCGCAAGAAGCGGCCCTATTCAAAAAAAAGTAAAAAAAGTCCGCTTTCGAGGCTTCTTTCCTCCAAGTCCGAGATCCGTAGTCTTGGCTCACCTTCCAAAACGAGGGTTTCGAGTCCTCAGCTTGAGACGAGTTCGCCGGTCGGTCGCCGAGAAGCGCGCGCCTCGTCGCCCCCGAAGAGCAGCACCTCCTGGACCTCCTCCCCGGACGCGGTCTGCGAGCCCGTGCTCGCAGCCTTCGGCAGCCTCGAAACGGATCCGACAGACACCCCCCAGATGCCCCAAGTTGTTTTTTTCTGTTTTTCTTTTGTTTTTTCGGGGGGGGGGGGGGGGGAGGTCGGGGGTGGGGGGCGTTTTTTTTTTTTTTTTTTGGGGGGGGGGGGGGGGGTTGGGAATATTATTATGGTTTTGATACTGTGGGTGGACAAAATCCTGCACCACTTTCAAAACCATGGGAAACCATTGTTCATTGGTATTTGCAGGGGAATCATCATTCCAGGGCTTCTTCGGTGGTGCAGGATTACGTCCAGCCACAGTATGGATTATTTTTGTGGCTCTTTTTTTTATTATTATGGTTGGGAACATTGCTTTTTCATTAGAAGATATAGTTTTATATTATGTTTATTTTGGGTGGGGAGGTCGGGGGTGGGGGGGCGGGGGGAGAAGTCGGGGGGTTGGGAGGGTGTCCTTTTAGACAACACAATTCCCACTGCGAAATGTTCGGAACCAAACTGAATCTGCGGAATCCAGTGATGTTCCAGCAAAATCGGCCAAAAGGACACCGCTATGGTTTCTTAGACGCGCCTCGTACACATCATGCAACCACTGTGTTGAAACATGCGCATTTCTATTCCGGGTGATTTCCTCCTGGTTTCCTCTGAACACATCACCCAAAGCATAGGTGCTTAATCCCAAACATACCTCGCCTGACCTAGACCAACCAACCAAAAGGGGGACCATTCTTGCAGCGTTCTGATTTCAGCTCGAACTCTGCCAGCCGCCAACACTGTCCCCTTGAATCAAACGGCCAGTGCTTTTTCTGCGGCTTGCTGGCCCAAAAACGGGGACCGCCGCCCCCCAGCTCTCGCCAAGCCGCGTCTCGGACTCCTCCGGCGACCAGCAGGCAGTACTGGTGTCCTCCGGGTGAATGTCAAGGCCAAGGCTTCCCTCTGAGGGCTGCGGCGAACTCTTGCGGGAATTCCAGGGGTTGATTCCTTGTCCCTTCTTTTCAGCCATCGTTCTTTTCAAAAACCGATCGCCATTTCCCCAGGATTTTTGGTGGCTTTCTAGAAAGAAGGATCCCTGGAAAGAATGGGGAAGTTACCCGTAGAAAACGGGGAGCCCAACTCGAGCATAGGAGCCAACAGCCAACAAAATTTGGCTCCAACCAAAAGCCCCCTACGCAAATGCATGGGGCAGCAGCCAGCAAGCAAGCAAGCCAGTGTTGGCCCCTATGCTCGAGTTTGGCGCCCCGTTTTGCCCATTCCTCTAGGGGGAACTTCCCCATTCTTTCCAGGGATCCTTCTTTCTACAAAACCACCAAAACCCTCGGGAAATGGCGGCCAGCGACTTCCCTGCCTGGTCTGGCACATGGTAGCGCACACCGTGGCAGAGTTTGTCACAGATGAAGCATCGGAAAGCCGGTCCTGCGGCCCGGTACGACCGAGACCTACGTGGGTGCTGATTGCTGGATATGATGAGGTAAGGGAAAAGGACCCCAAATACTGGAAGCATTCTTTTTGAGAGAGCTGGAATGTTGACAAGTCATCCAAAAGATGCCCCTGTTCCATGTATTGCCCTTTTGGATGGTCCAAAATCCAAAGGAACCCCCAGCCTGATGCCACGCGCACTGTTCTCAGTGCATATGGGTCTTTGCTTTCATCTGGACACCCAGAATATGAGTTGACATCCAACAACCGCCAACTCAGAATACTCCCGCTCCCTGATACCCTTCAGAAAGCGATCAGGGGTGACTGTTTAAGCGATAATTTCGCCCAAGGCAGACTTAAACCAGGTGTGGTCGTGGCTGATTGCCCCGGGAGCTGGGGTTAAGCGCACCTTCCGGGAATCAAAGAATGGAACCCTGCCGGGTGGAAACACCCCATTTGGCAAAGCTCACCTGGTCAAAGCACCAATGAACCCATCTGACTGGACCTACCATTCACCAAACATTCCCTAGTACTAACTACTCACAGAGTCAGTAGGCAGCATCAATGATGAACAACTGGCCACACCTCTATTGCTCTTCGACAAACACGGCGAAAAGAAGTCTTCCAGGGTGGAGTTCGATCCCTCAACACGGAAGAGTTGCACCGTTCCACTTCTTGCAAGACGTCGGGAGCACTTCTGTTTTCCCCTATGTTCATAGGCGTCCTTTTCGGGGAAATAGATGGGTTTCCCTGGTAGATGATTCAACCACCAGGTCAACCAGGAATCGCCATCGATTTTTCTGCCAAAACCCCCCAAAATGACACCTTCCGCATCTGTGTCCCGTCCCAAACTCCGCATCTCCTGACGAGGTCGGGATCCCATCCAGCGACTTGGCGCACTTCGCGCACACGAACTCTTCGCTGAAGGGCAGCTGCATGGGAGTGGCCCATGCCACAGGCCCAGGGATCGCCACCAACCCCAGGACCGACACACCACGAGAGAAACAAACGTCTGGAGAGGCCTGGGCTGAAGGCTCGATCGAACGAGCGCCTCTTGCGCGTTAAAAGGGGCTGGGGCGTTCTTGGCGGTTGCTTTCTCCTTTTTTTCCCCCAAGCAGGCGGCGATCCCCAGGGCGAGTGCAAGAGCGCGACAGATGTGGGGGTTTGGAAGGCCAGCGGGGCTTGAGCTGTGAGTGACGCGGCCGCACCTCGTGGGTGAACCACCAGCCTCGACCCCAAAAAGTGCAGTGGTTCTTGCGGCTTGGTTTGCGGAGAAAGCAGGCAAAACCAACGCTCCGAGTCGTCTTGGGCGCAAGAGAGCTGTTCGAAATGCTCCAATGGAACCGGCTCCGGGCGGCGCGTCTTGTCCGCCCGCCGGCTTTGGCCTCTGCCCTGCGAGCCAAGCGGAGCAAGCGCAGGCGCTGGCCAGGCGGAACACTGGAAGATCCATCTGGCTGTGGGTCAAAACCCTGTACCCCCAGTGAACATCAAAATAGGTAGCAAATGGATGTTCATCCACCCCAAAATGGAGCCATAGGTTATGCCCCATGGCCATCTGGCGACCCGCTTGAAACAGGCAAAACCGACCACGGCAGGCGATAGTCGAACCATTGTCAACCAGCACAGGCTGCCAGAAACGACAGCTCTGCTCAGGTGAGACTGTTTGCGGCGGACAATTTGTTTGATCTTGACATGCGCACTGATGTCCCTTTCTAAGGTCAGGAAAATAAAGACGTTCGCGGCGTCGTCCTCCCTCCAATCAGAAGTAAACTCCAACAATGCCTGGGGATCTGTAGATCCATATACAGACTCAACCCGGAAAGGCTCGAGCGTGTTGGCCAAACGGTGAACAAGTGGACCTCTTTTAGCTAAGAGCAACTGGCAACATGACTAGCCAGCGCTTGTCAGCGGGACTTGCTTGGCAACTTGAAACCGCTGGCTCCCAGACCAGTGACGTCACCATAGGCTGACAGTGGCAAGCGCCTCTGTGCCCCAAACACAATTGGCAGAGGAACCTGTGTTCCTTGCAAGAAATATCCAAGCAATCACCTGTGTTGCTGGAAAGCATAATTACAATTGGTCAACGTGTGGCCCAAATATCCTGAAATTGGGGAACGCTGTTTGGATGGTGTTCGAAGGGACGCCCAAACAAAAACAATATGGGGTCGCCCATATGTTACTAAACACCCATGCACCCCCGACCGCTGTGCCCGGATCGCTGAGCCCAGAAAACAGAGAGCCGGATCACCTCCGAAGAACACAGCCTTCTCCGCAAGAGTTCTTCCGGGGTCAACATTGGGACACTGGGGCTTGGAACTGTTGCCATTGGCACATGCCGAATTCCGAAAGTGAAAACGCACACACACACACACCTGTTGTGGTGACTTGCAATCACAACGAAAGTCGGCTTCAAGCCATCCATCATGTTGCCCAACTTCCCCAAAATAATCACTGTGTTAGTGCATACGCTCTATGAGAAACAGAGTTTAAAAGGGACCCGTCTGGCCGATTCTTCACCTACTAAAAAGGAATCTGATTCAGTTCAACGCTGATAACTGGCAACGCTTCTGCTGCATTCGGCCTTCACAAAGGGCCGCGAGCGGCATCTAGGAAGCCGCGGCCTGGGTCCCGCGCGTTGCTGGGCCTGCCAAAGGGCAGCGCCTCACTTCTTCCACGTCGCTTGTCACGCGAGGGGGGGCAGCGAGAGCTTCAGTCAGAAAGGCGACACTTGCCCATTTGGCCGTGCAGTTGTTTGTATCTTTGACATATGGCTGTGGTTGTGAAATCCCATTTTGGGGGATTTGTGCACCACCCATTTCACCTATTTTAGTGGGGGATTGAATCGGATGTTCACTGCCACGATTTGGCTTTTGACCCATGGCATGCAGCAAGTTTGATCTCGTTCCTTCGGGCCACTGAGGCACCATGTCACATGTCGCAGGAGAAACCTGTCGGAAGCAAGAGGAGAAACCCCAAAATCACCAAGCAAAGTAGACAGGAACATTGGAAAGCCTTAGGCATGCGCTGTTTGTCAATGAGTTCAAAAGAGGACAATGAAAGCACCAAGCAAAAGAGACGTAGCTTCCCCAGCCGTCAATGGATTGAATCACATCCAGCCAACAAGTCATTTTGTGCGGGTGGCCTAGATGAGACATCTGCTCAAGTGGGCCCAATCGTCTCGCCAGCATTCGTTGCCAAGGCGCCATGGGTACGTGCACTCAGTGGCCGCGGCGTTTGGAAGACTTTTGGACTTGAACCAAAACCATGGATCCGCCTTGAAGGGGAAGCAACCCAGGTACAAACAGACCGGGTCTTTCCAACCCAACCTGCTTATTTGACACCGGTTTTGGCCCAGGGGTTCCAAAAACAAAAATTTGGGGCCACACCTGGCCTTTCGACATGACCTCTCCACTCCAACTTGGCAGAAGAAAGCGCAAAACCAAGGGCGCTGAACCCAAGGGCCGATTCCACTGGATCGATTTATGGGCAACACAACGGCAGGCTGATGGGCAACAGCATTCCAAGGGAATTCGTGCCAGCAGCATCAAGTGATCTTAAAGGTCAAAACACACACGTCCGTCGCTGCACCGATCAATTCTTTGGGATACAGTTGGAGCCCAAGAGAACACCTTCCCGGACGGCGCAGCCAAACAGGCCGTTGATCGATGCCCCGATGCCCGCGCGCCTTTTTGATGGGTCATTGATTGGGCGTCTCCCATGACATGCATTCGGCTGGTGCCAGCAGGAAAGTGCCGATGCAGATTCAAATTGGCCTCATTATTCTATGGTCAAAGTCACCCTCTAAGTGGTGGGTTAAAGGGAAACAACCCAATTTCTGACTTTGAAAACCTCCAGAAACCGTCAAAATAATGACCCCTGTCAAAGCCATGCTTGAATGTCTAGCGGCCTCACGCGATACTGCGATCCTCACGAATGATTGTTTGCTTGGCAAGTGGCGGAAGACATGGGTGTGTCTTAAAATTTACGAGACCTCCCAAAAGCTTGGTTGCCTTTAGGTCTCCTAAAACCAAGCAAGGGGAGTAGCCTCAAGACAGGCACGGTCACATTGGCCCTGGCACCCGCCCGCTCTACTCAGCCCGGCTCCACATTTGCGGTCCGCACGCGGAACAATTCGCGCCCATCTCTTGGGGCGCCGGGCCCGTTGGCCCAGCAGGAAGCTAAAGCCGCCCTGTGAAAGTCGGAAGCGCAAGGGCTTGCTTGGAACATCCATCCGGACAGTATATACCTAAAATGCATATTATATATATATATATACATATTAATATATATATATATACATATAATTATATACATACACATATAATAGGTACACAACATGTGCATATGTGTGATTGAGTAACAACTTTGCAGGGTGCTCTCCATTAAGACAGAGCCATCTAGGTCGAATCCCCGGAGGTGGTCTTCAAAGTTTGACCAGGTCCATCACTGCAGAGGATTCTTCACCTGGATGTCACCTTCTCTTTTTGGGAGCCCTCGCAAAGGGGTTGCAATACCTTACTCAAAACAGCTGCAAAACAGGCATCAGCTTCCCGCTCTGCTTCATGTCTAGAGTCAGAAACCAAAACCGTTCAATCCAACTCCCAGATCGACCACGGGGCATCGGATTCGTTCGCAATGGCCGACCTCCAAGGCTCAATGGAGGCTTCAACCCTAGACCTCGAGGCAGAACGGGTCCCGCGCATAAATTTTCACAAGGGCAAACCACCGGACTGTTGAAAGCAGCCGGAAGCGTGAACCGAATGCCGCGGCGCTTGGCTTCTCGCAACGCTTGCCCAAACTGCTGCAATTTGACCAAATCCCTTTCAGGCAAAAAAGAATGACTGTGGGGCAGGTGGCATTTAATCCAGGCCAGCCATCGAAAGGGGCTTGGAACGTCACCACTTCACTTACAATTCCTGAACCGATGGCAAAGCCGTCGTTCACATTTCCAACACGAGGCGATTCCGGTCAGCGACTACAAGATGCATTCGAAAACTGCGCGCTTGTCAGCTTCACTCAGCTCAGCACGACACCTTCCAGGAAGCGCAACCGTGCCAAGTGGATTTACCCGGGCCCCAAACTATAAACCACTCTTGGCCTTGATACATACACACAAATGCAAAGAAAGAAAGAAAGAAACAAAGAAAGAAAGAAAGAAACACCTTGGACATGGCCAACTTGCCATAGCGTGAAACCTGTGGCTGCCAAAATATCGAAAAGCCCCGACAGTTACCACGGGCAATACACGTTGCACCATGGAAACAGTCGCAAACGAAGTTGCTCGTCAATAGACACTCTATGGTCGACACCAACACGCACAATGCTTACATCATGATCACAAAACAGTACAAAGCAAGCAACGCAAGCAAACGGGGACAAAAGCCCAAATCCTGCCCAACTCGCCAAAATCCCTGAACATTGCGAGCGTATCCCAACCTCCCAACTCCAATCACGGCATCATCTCTGAGTGACCATTCTTGCTAGCTGCCCGCGCCGCCAAATTTGGCACAGGTTAGTCCAAGGATCCAAGGATCCAAGGCGATTCTGGCTTAGGCAAGGAGAAAGCGCCAGGAAAAAGTCTTCAAGGTTTCGATACTCAGCTTCCCTATTGGTGGTTTGGATTGGTTTGGGGATTACCCCTGGTTCTTGCAGAGGGTATTCGGAAGCCTCCCCCAACCCAAACCACCCGGCTCCAACCCACCAAACCACGAGGCTACTTTGGTAGGCCTCCCCTACGAATCGGCGAGCCGGTGACAGATTCCGTGAGGATGGAAGGCCGGCTGAAACATGTACCCTCACTGGAAAAACGACCTCCCGGGGGAAAAAAACTCAGGTCCCACGTTGATGGATTTGAGGACGTGTGTGTGTTGTTTCAATGACAAATGGCAATGGTCTGGCCGCTCTGTTTATCGTTACCATGGTCACCCCCTTTAAGGCAGGTGTGGGGGGGA